AACAGGAAATGAGTCTCTCTTATAAAAGTGGTTCCTATCCACTGATCTTTTTTATGAAGCTATGAACTATTTCTCCTAGTGGCCTCAATTAACTAAACTAATGTGACCTCCAGGTCCTATTAATGCGTTTTCAGCGTGGGAAAATGGTTGTATGTATCACTACTAGGTGTTGTACCGCTCCCCTATTTATAAACCCCACTGGTCACGTAGTCAGCAGGCGCACATTTCCATATTCCTCACCCTCCTCTCTAATCTTAACATGCGTGTTCACATGGTTCAATTCATTAGTTTTCCCTCCTCTCCCCCCCCCCCCCCNCCCCCCACCCCCTCCATTATACGGGTATATCTGCCTGTGTGTCTGTATTTTAAGTCCCTAGGAAGATATGTGTAAATGTGAGAAAAATGCTAGACTCTGTCGTCTCCCCTTCTGTCCAAGGAGAATTTAATTGATTTAACTAAATTATCCATCTGTCGTGGGCCCTGTTATAAGGAGACAGCAACTATTTTTTGTTCTAGAAACTGTATGAGTAACTATTTAAGCTTGATAGTGTTTGTCAATGATCGCTCAGAATTCTTTTTTTTATACCATTTAGAGGTGACAGCTTTCTCATTGTTCTCTCAAGCTTAGAGAATGATTTAGCTTGTGACAAATCCTTATTATGATTATTTAATCATTTCGTTCATTGTGCGCCAGTGACGTTAAAGGTCAGCATGCACATTTGAAGTCAGACATCACTTTTCGTATCACTGTACGTCCATTAAATGATATGACCAACTGTTCCGGTTGACATTTATACAAAAAATTGTGCAATTTTCTCGTCAAAGAGTTCCCGGGCTGCTGTTTGTCTGGTCAAGAAGACGGTGTTGGAAAACACCGTCTTTCAGCAAGCTAGCCCGCAACCTGCCGAATATTTATTTATCTCTATCAAATGGCAGGCTTTATGATGGCCATCATTACCCCTTTGATTATATTTGAGCTTCACAGGTTGGAGGAACATCAAGGTTATAGAAATGCTTGGAGGAAGAAAACAGAAAAAATGGCAGAGAAAAGGTGAGATGAGTACTGTGGAAGTGGTGGAAAACGACATACAGTCGAGGCACAGTAGTTTAAAGTTAGAAGTCAATTGCCGGTTTATTGACTTTTATCGAATGAGTATACGTTGCCCAGGGTGCACCACGTGGAGATAAGTCTATCGGCAGTCATCTTGCAGTCATGAGGAATTTGAAAGTTCTTTTGCACTAAAAATTTAGAGTTCTGAGACCCTCTCATTTTTAATCAGTGCGCCCCGAGGTTAATGGTTCCATTTCGTATCTAACCAAGGTTGACTTATAAAACTTTATACGAAAAAAAATAATTAAATCTTTTTTACTCAAGATTTCTATTTTGACGTCTGGAAGTTGATGGTTAGCACTTTCACCGTAATGCTCGGCGAGAATATCAATCATCTCTCTCTCCTTATTCAATTCCTATTTCTGATGCTGTCTTTGGATAAGCGATGTTTTAAATTTGTTCGAAAAAGTAACAGATTACTCACGTGGAAGGCTGCATGGTGCCGTTAATAGAATGTTTCCATTTATCCATCTAGTCAACCGGACGTGTAGTTACTGCGTCTCAGTCCGCATGAATATTTGCACGAAAATCGCATCAATTTTAGAAAACAGGTATACGAGAAACCCAATTAAGAAAGGTATACTATTCAGATTATCCTGAACCACTTTAGCTATATTAAGTCTTCAGATGTTGGCTTGCTGCTGTTAAGACAAGAGTGTTTGCTTTCTAGTAGACTCCTTTGGGTGGATAAGCCAAAAAAGTAAGGTGTATTGCATAATTAATAGGCCAGTTTCGACTTGTGTAGTTTACTACCACTCCTGTGATTTATTTATGACTGATAGTAAAACACGACCGCTTGTGTTTAAGCTATCGAACTGGATTCCTTTTGCTTTCTTCCGTAATCATTATGCCCCAACTTCAGCACCGCTTGCAGCTCTTCCGTGTCTATTAGTCATTCATGCAATTAACATACATAGCGAAAACACAGATATTATAAAACTATGTTGCTAATTATGTACTGCTAGGCATTCACTTAGTTTACGTAGTGGTCACAGTTCTTCCTAACTCAGAAGGCAGAAGTCATGTTGTTGTAGATTATTATTTCAAATGGCAGGCGTTTTGAATAGTTATCATTAGCCATTTAGCCGGCTTCGGGCTTCATAGAGGGGAGGAGGAACATCAAAGTGAGAAAAAGCCGAGAGAGGGAACAGGAGAGTGATTCACAGATGTAGAAGAGACAGACAGACAAAAAGGCAGAGTACTGTAAAAGTGGTCGAATATAACATACAGTGGGGTCATGGTAGTTTGAAGTCAGAGGTCACTTGCCCAGGGTGCACCACGTGGAGGTAAGTCTATCACACACCCAATGTGATTGATGATAATGGAAGCACTTTCATCAGTTTGGGTCAATAGGCGTGAATAGAGGCCTACTTAGCCCATAATGACGTCAGTGGGCGAGATTGCAGTCTCTGGCACAAGGAGTAGATTCTGTTATTAGTAGCCATGTTTTGCGATGTCTGTTTCATGGCGATTTCCCAAAAAATTCGAATACCATATATTGCATGAGCAAATTGTTTTCACGCTATAATCCGTTATACAATTTTAGAAGCTGACGTCATTTTTAACTTTTGTCGCCCTTAAATTTTTTGTTTGATTTCCATTTCAAGTTTTTGTTCACTTGGTAATCCTTCCTCTCTCATCGTTCTATTAAAAGATTTCGATTAACCAATGGATTTTGAACTCCAACTATCTATGGATTACTGAAATTTTCTGTAAACTCCTGTTTTAAATAAACCGATTTCCATTCTCCCAACGGTGAATGGAAATCGGGTTATTATCCATTTATGCATAAAATACCATTGCAGATCTATTCAATCTCCTTTACGAAGATCTAAGTAGTGTTGACATTGAAATTCTGACGTGTTTCGTATCATATCAGTTTCACATTGCAGCGCGTTCCGCATTCGTCTTATCGCCCTTTCCGTACTTTTTTTAGGACACAGGCCTCTGAAAGCTATTCCTCTTGGAAAAGAAGGAAGTCGTTGGGGGAGGGGGGGGGGCTGGGGTGTTTTCATTGAAGGCGTAGTTTTGCCTTTGAGACTACTTATTTTTTCACCTGCCAAATTTGAGTAACTGTGTGGGGCTTCTCTATGACTTCACGTCCTAATTGTGCCTAACTCTCGACTGCTTTTAAAAGCTTCCATTTCACTTGAGTTGAAAGTGTGTGTTTCTCTTTACACAAGAGTGCACTTTTAAATTGCCCTTTGTTTTAGTTAGGACTGCAAAAGCTATTCCTTTAATACGACTTTTTAGAGTGATTTCACTCTAATTACCTAATTCCATTATTGATTGATTTGACTACTGGTTAGATTAAGTCCTCAAAATTCGTAAAGCCGTGTGTACCCACGTTATTAGATTTGGCTTCCTGTCAGAGCGTAAGATTGAAAATCAATAAGAAATTTAATTAGAGTAGGGCTGCATACCTTAAGTTCCATATACTCTGGAAAGCTCTCTTATTCAAATAGCTTAACTAATCAAATTATGCTGAAATTAATACAAGTTTGAACAATTTCGCAAACTCCATTGACTAGTTCAGTTTATTAACCTCAGCAAGGAAAATCGGGTTAAATTAGGCAAGTACTTCATGACAGTTGACGATTCACTAATGAGCGTCGTTTTTTAACTCCTCAAATTAGCTTTGTCTACTTAGACTGTGGTTTGGACACCTATTGATGGACATCTTGTGGTCGGAATTCTACACATTGGTTATTGTACTCCGGCTAAACCAATGCTCATCATGTATGCCTGCTATGGTAGTAAATCACGAGATCGGTGCTTATCAGTGAACTTCCAATGATCTAGATCACCAACACTTCCCTTAATGGACTTAGGAAGTATTAAGCTGTGTCTCCTTTACTTGTGAATGCTTCAAGATGATCTTCTTCTTTTCGATCGATGCTGACCAGTGAATTTTACAGTTTTTCTGCCTAATTCCAAATGTTTTTAAGCGCGTTCTCTCCACCATCTAACCCCAGTGTGTTTATTTTCACGATACTAAAGCGCCAGTTTTTCATCCGCTTTAACAACTCCCTCCTGTTTTTCCCAATTTCGTTCGCGTTGGTCCGCGTTTGTGTCTAGTGGCGGTCGGGATGACAGTTTTCAAATCTGCACACATACGCACACACGTGTATGTATCCATGTTTATAAGAGGAGGGATTAGAGAGGCTGAAGGGTATCATCTGGTTATCATTGGCGCTCTACTTTCGTTCCGTTTACACACGTACCTTACCCTTGTCAAGCGCAGCCACGTCTGTCCTCTCCCCCCCCCCCCCCCCCCCGGCACATTTCTTAATGGCCCCGTTCTGGATGATTCATTCTGTGTGAAAAAAGTTATTCTAGGCACACACACACACACATGCGTGTGTACTCATCCCCTTACTAGGACCTAGACAGTCGCGAAATAATCATTATTTGTCAATATATTAATGTCGACAAACGGATGTGTGGCTTTGATGTCATGCATTTGGAAGAGGCATGATCCGTGAAATACCTACGGATCCTGTGATCCATCTTTTCACTTAAGTAAATTATCTGCTTATTCTCCGGCATCAAGCTCTCGCTTATTGGACTTTCCTCACTCTTGCTTTACCGTTTCAGTTTGTTTGCTATCGGGTTGGATTTTTTCGTATTCTCTTGTACTACAAACATCCATTCACGTTCTGTCTTGCTAGTGTGTTGAACTTAGTAGGGGCTTTGAAGAACAGTAGCTGAGCAAGATATCTTTAACCCTTTCAGGTCAAATTTAATGTTGTGTGTTCGAATTCTCTTGTCGTTTATAGAGGTTATTGATGACCATTCTCTCCTTTCTAATTTACTGCGAATTTAATATAACACCTGGATAGGTGGTATATAAGATTTAAATTATGTTGAAGTGCTTCACGGTTTTGGAATGGGTTCAACGCGTTTTTTGTGCTTCTGCATAAATTCCTTTGACGTGGTATGGGAACATTCTTGTTTTTTTACATATTAGCACATGTCATGGTTCTACGAAAATAAAACCTTATCCAGCGTGTTACGAATTCCTCTTCTTCAGGTCTATGGAGCGCCAGTTCCATTACTTCTTTGGGCATCCCACCTCAACAACCGTCAACAACAAGCAATGCACGACCCGACAAGGCACCATCAGGTTACCCTAAAACGAGATCCTTTCTCAGATTTAGACATCGGTCACCCTCATCCTCATCTTCAAATGATTCTGCTGTAGATTTGCCAGGTTCTATTAAATCATATTGGTCACAAACTCGGGGGCAGACCAATAATGAATCGTAAGTCGGGCTCAATAATCATTAATACCTTTTAATTTAACAATAAATCTGACCATCCAAATCAACCAAATGTCAAGCTTGTATAATGAGGAAGGGTGAGTCTTGGGCCGTGGTGTCTGGTGCTTACTCTTTTCAAGAAAAAGAATGTGTATCGGTGTTTTCTTGTCTTTTATTTGGATGTCTCATAAGATTGACCATTAATTTGCCTTAGATTTGTCTCAGTGTGCCTATCCTTTGTGTCTCAAACATTTCTATCTTCTTAAAGCTTTGGGATTTATTAATTAATTTTAATTATTATTAAGTTATTAATGTTTTTCCCTGAATGAATTAGCATTGAATTTCTTGCTTGAAATAACGCCTAAACAGTATTGTTTATATCAACGCAATTTTTATATCTGTTGTTTATTTTCTTATGTTTTCGCTATACCAAGGGGCAATTGATTTATTGGGACCCCTTGTGGCGCATTGAATTTTATGCTCCAAGTGAAGTAGTAGCTTCGAAAGCACTAAGGCAGAATGAAGAAAACTTGCTAGTACCTTCTTCATCTTCAAAAATACCATAAATCTTGGCTGTAGTGAGTGTGTAACCTTAAAATTGGAAGTATCACCTTCATCCAATGTGGGTGCACCCCTTACTCCTTCAATCAGACACATAAGAATCTAATAAAGACGGGAATGTAAATCTTCTCTCATTAAATTCAATATCCGCCACAATTTTACTCGTTTGCCTTCAAGGCAAAGCTACAATCCAACGCTCTAAAATATCGGGAGGAAAAAGTAGAAGGCCAAGATTTCCCAATCGCAACTGGAGCTTTGCTGAAATTTGAGTTTCAACACTGCATCTTCCAATCTGCATATGTGTCACCTTCAAGTCGTATCATTTGCTGCGACTTTCTCTTTAATTGGACTCAGTATCGAAAGCTATCAGTACACTAATAAGCGATGTAATCTATTTATTTATATCAAATGGCAGGCATTTTGATAGTTATCATAAGCCCTTTAGTTGACTTTAGGCCTCACAGAGAATAAGAAACATAAAAGTGAAAAAAAGTCGAGAGGGGGAGGGGGGGGGGGAACAGAA